TTTTTTTTTTCGTAATTTGAAGCAAAGTTCGTAATTTTTCTTTTTGAATGCTTAAGTATTCCAATATTCTACCAATTAAGCATGGAACAATTTCAAAATAATGCTTAATAACAAAGTTGAAATTCGATCTTCAACTGTTAATATCCTCTAGAAATTTTCAATATTTTTCTCGTACTCCCCAAGTGAGCCTCCATCACCCCTTAAAAGGAATGACGCCAAATTTGAATCACCCTGTATGTGAATTCCGACAAGTTTCAAAAAGCCTGTTGAATAGTTGTTCCATAGAGAAACTCAGCTCTCACTACGGGAAAATTTTAAACGATTCTCGGTTGCAAATTTTCCGAGATTTTCGCTAATTTTCTTGGTACCTTTTACTTTCTAGACACGCATTGTTGAAAAAATCGGAGCTCTAAAACCCGACAAGCTTGAACAACGACTTTAATACTGTCCAATGGAAAATTAGAGACCTTTTTTATGAGGAAGTTTGCAACCAGACTCGGTCGCGGGTTTTCCGAGCTTTTCTCTTCATTTTAATGGCAACATTTGCATTCAAGGCACGATTCCTTTAAAAAATCGTAGCTCTGAAACCTGACAAGCTTGAGCAACGATTTTAAGCCTGTTCGATAGAGAATTAAAGTATTTTTAATAGGAAAACTTGGAAACATAATCAGCACGTGTTTTGTCAATTGCATTTTTCCGTACGTTTAATGGTGATGTTTCTTCAAAAATTCATAGTTCCAATTGCTGCATATTGTTCAATCGAGAATTACAGTCCTTTTTATTGGACGTGTTCAAAGCATACTCAGTAGCTGTTTTTTGGATGTTTTTCAGAAGCGTTTTTCCGTTAAGTGCAAAAAAATGTATAGCTCTGCAACCCGTCGAGCTAGAAAATCTCCTTTGAACTGTTCAGTTGAAAATTAGTCCTTGTTTTGGACGTTTTCAACAAACTCTCAGACGCAATATTCAGGGGCAGTTTGTCCGAGATTTTTCCTTTACTTCAATAGCAGCTTTTACCTTCAAGAGCGGTATTTTCAAAACTTTGTAGCTCTGAAACCTTTGAGTTAGGAAAAGTCCTTTATATTAAATAGAGAATTTAAGTTATTTTTATTGGACGACATTCAAAACCCTCTCAGTCGCAGTTTTTCGAAGATTTTTTCCTAATTTTAATACCGCACTTGCTTTATTGGCTCGCATTTTCAAAAAATCATAGCTCTATAGCTCGAGAAGTTGGGAAATCGTCCGTTATATTATTCAATAGAGAAATAGAATTTTCATTCGAAACTTTCAAGCGAGATCGATCGCAGATTTTTCCTCGATTTTCATGCCAACTTTTGCCTCATACGCACGCTTTCTTCAAAAATGCGTAGCTACGAAAGCGTTTTTATACCGTTCGGCAGGTAAATACAATCGCATTTATAAGAATAACGACTATATAATTTTTTTAAATAGAGTTTTTATTAAAGAAGCGAATATTTTTGAACAAGATTGCAACCCGAACCTGGTCGCAAATCTTGGAATCTGAAAACCAAAAAAGTTTTAAATGGTTCAAAAATTAGGTGACTGAAAATTAAACCTTAAGCAGATCGTAGATTTCTCTCTTTAATATGAATCTAATATTTCTAATCTTTTAAAAAGCCGTGTAAAAACGAAAGTTTCGACATAGATGATATATAGCCTCTAAGTAGGTTATTTCCTTGAACAATTTGCATTAGTTGATTAAAACCCCACCCACTTCTACTACCAATCATAATTTTCATTGAAATGCGACCGACAATGAAATCTAGACCAGAAAAGCTACAATGGAAAAGCCGGTAAACAGACAGATCTAGCATCTAATTAAAATTCATTCATGTTCGGAATCATTGTTTGTCAGTTATTAGCCTATAAAATGATGTCAGTGGAATCTATTGTGAATGAAGCTGTGTGGGCTGTTTTATTGCTTTTTTGTAGTAAAATAAACATGTGGGAATTTTCATATTGGAAAAAATTACAGGCTCGTGTTGCGGTTTGCTTATACGCAACACCTACCCACTTCCTAAAGCGATTTCCTTCGCAAGCTGGCCATTACTTATTACACGAATTTATGAATAAATGACTTCAAGCATATTTCAAACAGCAAATGGATGTATTTAGAACGGATTTTATTGGGTATTGCGACCAAATGACCGCTGTTTTATGAGAACATTTTCCCTTTGAGACAATTATTTAAATGTGTTGAAGAGTAAAGCCCAACTACCCCCCAAAGAAGCTGATTAATCTTTCAATAATAGGTGCATAAATTGCTGCTTATAAAAGCCCGCAGGGATTCGAGTATTGAAATAGGTTCATTTGACGTAGATTTAATTTCCATAATGATTCCCAATACGATAATAAAAGTGAGTGAATCGGCTTATTTCCATTCACATACATATTTCATGTATCATTCATTCAATGAATATTAGGAATTTAAAGATTGTGGAGGTAAGTGCTCCGATAATTCGCTGGATTGCAGGCATTTTTTGCGGATGTATATTTCAAGTATTTAGACGTATTTATTACGTGGCATGTTTGTTCGTATCCTGTTTTATTCATTACTGATAAATGGGGTGTGTAGCAACAAACGCTCAGATATTAAAATCGCCAGAGATACAAGATTTACATACATACAATTTTGTTCTTGAGTAGGAAAGAAACGAGCTTATGAATGTGGAATATTTCGAATTGGTCCGAAAATCTGTAATTCTAGGATTTCTTTTTCAAGTATTAGTGTCTGTTTAACCAAACAATTCTGGAAGGAGTTAAAAAATAGTTGTACAAAACTCGAAAGGGGTGGAGGATTTTTTATTTTCATGTTTAACAACGAGATATGTTGTAGCTACGAATGTAAAAACTTTCGAGTTACAGCCATCATCAGGAATTTTTGCCTTCACTAGATTCGGAACGAAGTTTTTCCAAAACCAATAGAGCAAAAACCAAGACCAGTGGAGGATTTTCCATCTTTTATTCAAAAGACAAAAGTCGAATTTATAATCGACAAACGTTTCGAAACAGTGCGTTATCAAATAATTTTGCAGAATTTTTTGAACTTCATTTTGCAAAAATTTATTGAACCAGAACTGAGAAAGTTGGAGAATTTTTAATTTTTTATTGAGAGGCCCAAGGCGAGTTTATAAATATGTTCAGATTCAAATTGATCATGATCACAGGTTTTTTGGAAAATTTTACAACCGGCCGCCTTTTTTCAACAGGCTCTTCTGCAATAGATAAAAGCCCACACTATAAATATGGAAAGTTTCGAATTACTGCCAGCCTCAAGGATTTTTGAAGAATTATTTTAACTTTTCTTTCAACAAGATTTTTTTTTAAATTAATTGAGCTAAAACCATTTGAGTTGAATAAATTTCCCTAATTTTTATCGTTGATTTCTATTTAATAACGAATGGTTTTACTGATTATTTTGAATAACCATGCAACATCGGACAGGAAATCGTCACTAATTCATCAGATGTTCCTCAATGGTTTTGTGATGTGCGTTGAAATGCGCGCCTTTTTCCTCCTACCAATTATTAAGCAGCTTAAAATTACGTTAATTCTCAGTAAATGTCGTTAATTAAAGCAATTCTCGAAACTAACACAGAGTGTACCGAAGAAGCCGCTATTATTCACAGGATATGACATAGAGACATTATGCCGACAATTTGTATTCCTCACCTTCCCGCCTTATATGGAGGAAAAATCTCTTGGAAACGACATATTTTAATGGCTAATTATAAATTATTCATTATTGATTAAATTATTACAATGGGCGTAGTTGGACGACTTTGTAATATTGTTGATGGCAAACATAATGAATTAGTTATGGCCTGCAGAAGCCCGGAATGTGGAAATAACGACTTGATAAAGAAACGAAAAAAACGTGTTTTGTCTGGAACTATTACGACCCGCTTATAAACAGTGTAATAATTGATAATATCCGTTCATTTGATTAACAATTCAGTTTTTTAGATGCATTTGTACAGGAAGATGAGGAAAATATATCAAAATTTGCAAGTTAGGAAGAAAAAACGCAAATTTTATTTCACCGGTTCTATACTATAAAAAATTCAATCGTATATTCACAATAAACAGGGTATTTATAGAGTATTGGACAAATGCAAAAATGGCTATTAATTTGGATCGTTTGCTGATTTTTTGCAACATTCGAAACTTGCGAATTGCTTCAAAGGAAAATATGGTTAAAATGTATATGTTGTAAACTCGGGCAGATATACATGTGAAATTTCGGATGTATACCAAACAAGGCCCAATTGATAAGCTTACAAAAGCTCAATAAATTGTCGAAAAGTCAGGAGAAAATTATTTGAAATGACGACCTAAAAACTCGAAAAACTCATGAGTTCCAATGAAGTAATTTAATATAAATTGACATAGTTTTCTAAAAAAGCAACATTTGGGCCAATTTGCCGATTTCCATTCCGTGATTTACTCCATCGCTTTACACTTACTTACTGTTTATCTGAAACATATTTACTTGTTAGAAACTGTGACCTGTAACATTTGCACTTCTATGTATCCCACTGGCTGTTGACCGTGATAAATTATAACGAAACAAAAAGATCAATGAGCATATTGTTGGATTGGCGGATACATACATACATACATACATAGTACGTATCTCGCTCGTTGTAGGCCATTGGTTCATAAATGTATGTGCAATTTTTCCGGGTTTGTTATGTTTGTTTGCTGTTAAAGGTTAGGCTTGTGAACTTGCTGGTGGTAGAGTTTCATTTCCAGTCGATGCATTAAAGCGTTATTAATGTGATAGTGTTGTAGGAACTTGCCTTTTACTTCTATTGATCCGTTGAGTATTAAGAAAAATTGCAACAAAAAATGGAATTATTAGTTGAAACAGGCGAGGACTGATTTTAGAATGCTTACAAGAACGGAATGAATAAGTTTCCAAAGTGCCGCCTATCTTATCGCGGCAACAATGCCTCTTCAGCAATTACAATGGTCTTATTGTCAATATTGTAATGAAGACATTAAAATATGTATTATATTGAATGTGCAGTATTGTCCTTTCTGTTTAAGTACTGCGCCTTACTTGGCACTTTGCGGTCTAAGTACCGGAAAAGGGGGACGTGCAGACATAATAGGTAATTAAAAGCCGAGATGCATCTTAACTAAGAGATTGCCAAAGTGTGCTAACCTTGAGGAAGGCTAATTATTGAGATTTGAATATTTTGGAGAGTTTTAAGCAAACCCCTTCAATCTCTGGCATCATTTGATCAAACGATGCGTTTGTAGATGGAAGTCGATTAGTGCGGAAGTCAATTAAAGCAAGTCTTGGCTTGCCGATGAAATAAACACAGTAATATCTGTTTTTAAAAAAAAAATTGTCTATTTTTAGCCGATGCATGTTGGTAAAACTCTCTGTCTGAATCTGGTATTAACTACATCCGGATATCCTCTAATCTTTCAGAATTGGGTGCTGCTGAATATGCTGACGCGTTTAATTTTAGACGAATTCTATAGGATAGGTATTACGTGCTTTATTGTTTCCTGAATGCCGACATATGGAGAAAAAAACATGATCATTAGTCATATTTTGGACGGGGGAGTGTCATGACCGTAGTAGATCTGGAACTGTTTTCAATAACAGGTTTTTACACGACGATAAAAAGCGATTTGCTGAATGAATGTTGCATTTACAACAGCAAATTATTTACTACGAAATGTTGTTTTCAGGTATTTTCTCCAGCCCCGGTCCAGCAAAAACCGTCCATTTTTGACTCATTCTACTCCGCCTGGTACGAGACTGTCCAGCGACAACAGTTTGGGTTCTTTGAGGCTGCAAGTTCAATATACGGAGGATCGTGTTTTTCCGGCAGCTATTTATGACAATCTTAAATCTTTACTTTTACAAAGCTCACCCGCTCAGGTTAGTTACTGTTCCAAATTCTTAATACTTAAAATATGCAACTCTTGGAAATTTATGAATAGCAATTACTAAAAATGCATTTTTTGTTCCAGCCTGTAACGAACAGTTCAGTCTACGTTCTAGGAGAGATCATTATTAACAAGATAGAAATAGCGCCTCCATTAGTTCGTATCCTGCTCCACTCGGAAAAAGTGGTGCCCATTATACGATCCTTAGCCACTGTGGAAATATCCAAAGTAACGTAAGTAGATGATTACGGTTTTTCAGGAAAAATTTGTTCCTTGGCAAGGAATCGGGGGGCTTCACTCAAACTAGAGCATTTCCATTGAAAATTAATTCACTGTCTTAAGCTATATGTAAGCACTTTAATTAATGCAACTGCCGTTAGCCAAATGTTATTATTTATTAATTTGATTAGCTGTGGACTGCACTAAATCGGTTTCAACTGATAAAAATCTAAGTACCTACGAATAATAAAAAAAAGCATCAAGAACAAACCCAATTAATGAGCAATTTTGAAATTTCAAGCACTGAAGACAGCGCGTATATTGAGCTTTAAAATGCATTCTTCAGATGGGGAAAGTTTGTGAACGCGGAAGAACTACGGCTGGATTTTATAGACTGGACTGGTACCAGAATGGTTTTGTGTTCTTTAAGGAATTTGTCGAATTTTCTGGTTTATTTCCGACATAACAACGTTTATATTGAATTTGTGGCATTTTCAGTAAGAATAAGAAAGATATGAGCGACTTAGGCCGCAAAATTGCAAAATGCGCTGTATTTTCCATTTTTGAAGCCAATTTTAAGGCTGATTTTGAACTTTAAAAAAAAATTAAGAAAACGGAAATTGAATGGATTTATCAATGAAAATTTGGTTGTCGAAACCCTCCATACTCGTGGGTTCCGCACTGGCCCATTTTCAGACCGATTTGGAAGTTTTCAAATTCCAAAAATTCGACTTCATTTATGTCGAAGTTTGTATTTTGAAACCCTCCACACTCTTCTTTTTAAAACAACCCCAATCAATGAGCAGCTTGGAAATTTAAAGAACCTGAAGAAAACGGATATTTTGAGCTTTTTATCTTTGAGCTATTTTAGTTTTCAAATGCCCGGAAATTTTGAAGACGCCGGATTTATGCCGAAAAGTTGATTCCGAACGATTCAAATTCAAAGCTTTCAAACAATTTCAATTAAAGACCGAGTTTTATATAAAAAAAATGAACGTTCAAACGCACTTACCAGATCGTGGAAGTTTGTACAGTCTATAAGAACTGAATAAGAAACGGATGTATCCGGAAAAGTTCGTTTTCTGGAATCGTGAGCGTTTTCATACCGGAAGAATCTGATATGCTGACAACACGGCCGGATTAATCCCGAACATTTTATGCTTCAAAAATTCCACCTCTTCACCACAAAACGGGCGCAATTAAGGGTTGATTCTGAAATTTTCGAATTTCGGGCTTTGAAAAGCCGAACAATGGCGAATTTTGTGCTTTCAAACGCAGGTTCAGATGTCGGGAACCGATATCTTAAAAATTTTATCTTGGAAATTCTTTTTGATTTATGCAAATTGAGGAACTTCGCGGGTAGAAAACTATAAACATTGAGCCAAAAAACACTCAGAGGAAAAGATTTGTTTTCACCTCGAAAGCTCGTCGGTATATTTATGAACATCGTGTATATTCAGGAATAATTTTAACTAGTGCGTTTTTTTGTTACTTTTTCAATGCGGCTGTGTAAATTCTTTATATGGTTGAAAAGGAAATTTTCACGCTAAAAATCGGCCAGTTCTATAAGCCCAAGTTTGCTTATGGTGATTTTCGTAATAAATTAGCGGAGCCCACGCGTTTCGCTCGCGTGGGCATTAGGCTTTAATATTAAAATTACCTTTTAAACACAGCAGCGCCTACACGGAAAAAGAACCTAAGTGGAAAAAGATTGTAGGATAGGCTAATATATCTTAAATCGATTTGAGGTTATTGACTAAACCAGCTTTCAGTTGAAGTATGTTTGATCACACAATGAGACTTAATTTTTGATTAGTCAGAGTAGCTTGGAGTGTTTTTTGTCAATTTCAAGACCATCCAAGTAAAGTTGCACATCTAAAAATAATCCGTAATAATTCACTTTGAACAATTCTGCACTCACGAGATGGATGGTTTCTTATCTTTAAAGTATCGTTTTTCAATAAAATGTAGGTTTACTGAAGATAATCAAATTTTATTGATGCTTTAATCTCAATCAATTAATGCACTCGATGGTTTTGTTGTAAATGCGACAAATTCCCGATTAATTTTTATTTTCTTTCTTATTTATTTTATTGATTAGTATGTATACTGAGTGCCCAAATTCATGTAAACGTTGACTATTGAGATTATTTGGAGAATTTCCAATAGTAACTAAAAGTATTTGTCTGTTCGCCTCTACTCGATTGAAATTCCGTTTTTAATTTGTGTCACCCAATTGGTATGCTTCACACATCATATGGTAATATTTCACAACAATTAACAATAAGAACGCGAATCAACGCATACCAAATCGGGCTTATGCACTGTCCGGTGGTCTATTGAGGCAGCAGCATGATTGAGTTAGTTAATTTTCGTTCGGGCACGAAATGACCGTTTTATTTAAATTTGACCCAATTCTATTTGTTTTTCTTTTCCATCATGCGTCTCTAGTTGGGTCTGTTGGCATCGGGCAGTAACAAAATCCTTCAATGGGTTTCACCTTTTGACAAGATAATTACTTCTTTCTGTGTTTTTCGAGTTAAAAATAGATGGAAAGCAAGCCGGTACACAGATTGCCCTATGTTTTCTGTCACTGTTTCGGTTTCTTGATTTGGAAGGCATGGTCGAGACGGTATTTTTAAATGTGCCCACTTTCTGACATTGCTTTCGAAGATCAAGTCGTTGATGAATGTGAAATAGGTAGTCGAAATAGTTTTTTCCGAGTATCTACGGTTTCCTTAAAATCGGCATTGCATTAATCTTATCGCATTTAGTTAATTGATTTATTGGCCTTTTAACAAAGGAACTGTTCATTGATTGCTCATTATTTGGCAGAAAGTGATTTCATCGCACGTATTTTCTAAAAAATAACTTGAAAAATCGCATAAAGAAAAATGTTGAAAGAGACTGACAATGCTGGATAATGCAGATAGTGGATGAGAAATGATTGAAAAACCACTGAACCTTTGAGTGAACTGGAGCTCGAAGCAGTTATCAAGCGTCATTAAATTGCAGGAGCTTTATTACAAACGATTTTCATATTCTAAATAAACATCTATGCAGATCTGCAGCTTTAACTAATGTAATTTATTGATTTAAATAAGCCATCGTACTGAGCCATTTGACACTTCAAATACCACCAATTTCCGATGAGTCAGCCACAATATAGACCGCAGACCGACAAAATGTCGTTTCGGTGTTGAAATTTGAAACCGCAAGCAGTAATGAATGTTTGCAGGTGACGTGGCAAAGTAATGTTTTACCTTTGGTTTTAGCATACTCTGCTTGCAGCCATCTGATCATTTGAAGGAAAATAATCAGTAGCGATCCATGGCTCAAATAGCTGCCCATTAATTCCTAAGTGTCTGCCTGTTATTGTTTTATACCGACCATATTTAGATATGCAACTGTAGTTATTTTCATGGTTTATGCCTGGCTATTTTGGGTAGGATGTTATGTAGGCTCAGTTCAGTTCATTGCATGTAAACCACTTTCATATCAACTACACAGACATGATGAAAATCAATAGCTGCATTTTATGCGAAAGAAATGAATTTCAATATCGCATTTGTGCATATTCGCGTATTAACCGGCTAGCAATAAACGTTATAAATAGAAATTATTGTTTATTGTTAAAGTTTCATGAATGAACGAACCGTTTTCCGACCTTGGACGCTCCTCATATTGCCAAAATTTGCTTACTGATCAGGACCGGGCCTGGAAACGATAAAAATATATTCTGGACTTTACAGGGATCCAACAACCATCTTCCGAGGCAATACCTTAGTGTCCAAGATGATGGACGAAGCGATGAGACTTATTGGACTTCAGTACCTGCATAAAACCTTAAGACCAACTCTTGAGCTAATCTTTAGGTAAGCGAACGTGGATTTAACTGCGGGAATTTAGTAAAAATTTGGGCATTTTCAGTGAGAAAAAGCCATGCGAAATAGATCCGACGCGAGTGCGGGATCCTAACACCATCCAGACCAATCAGGCGAATCTGAAAGCCTACATCCAGAACATTTTCGACGACATTACGCAAAGTGCCGTACATTGTCCGGCTCTAATGTGCCAGATTTTCCATAACTTAAAGGAGTGCGCTATGCTGTATTTTCCAAATAATAAAGAAGTGAGGTGAGTATCCACGATTGAGCTTTTTGCAGGTTTGGAAGAATTCGCACAGCTTTTGTTGTCGGCCTCAGTTGTTGAAAAATGTAATGAAAATATAAAACCTCTCCTTCCAACTGAAACAATGTAATTTATTCCTAGAATTAGAATGTTTGTTGCATGTAATTAGTCCTTATCAGCTTATTTCTTTTCCAGGTATTCTGTGATATCAGGTTTTATATTCTTGAGGTTTTTCGCACCTGCTATTCTGGGACCCAGACTGTTCGACTTAACTACTCAAGCTATTGACTGCCAAACAAATCGGACTCTTACTTTGATTTCAAAGACGATTCAGTCGCTAGGAAACTTGGTAAGAATTACTGATAAGGTTTATTTATTAAAAGAGTTACGCTTTCGCGGCCATTGTGTGAAATTGGTGAATTTTTCGGACTTGTGTCGCCGTCGAAGAGAATGAGTTTCTGGCGTTAGAAAGAAACAACATCCTAAAAGTTTGGAATGCTCGATTTTCTTTACGAGGCAAATAGTCCCACAACCAAGTTTTTGGTAAAATTGCACTCAAGCTTCCAAATATCAATTGTTGTGCAACCAAGCAGAATGGAAGGCAGTCAATCCCTGTAGTAGAAAGAGCACAGCAGACTTATTTGTATAGATTGTGAAAGTGTCGTTCTTCACCCATCAGCAGGGAGGATTCAACAAGCTTTCACATATGAATCAAGTGGGATTTAAAGAGGTCCTGAATTTAGGACTCACAATCAAGGGATTTTCTGCCCAAATTACACCCAAAGTTTCAAAAATTAATTTCTGCGAAACCAAGCAAGAAACCTCAGTCGTTTTTTGGGGTAGATAAAACATACTTTTTCTATGAACCTGAAAGTTTCGTTCTCCGGCGATCACCAAGCTTTCAAATCTGAAGCAGCAAATAATGAGCGTTTTTTAAGTTGCGCCCAGAGCTTCAAAGAATTAACTGTTTGTTGATGTCAGTTAATTCGTTAGAAAGAGCACTCTTGGCTCTAAAGGGCATGAAAATTTTTGTAAATACCGTTTTGATTTTATTTTTAAGAATTGTTTTTAACAGCGAACATTTTTTGTTTTAGGTGAGTTGTCGTTCGACGCAACAAGTATGCAAAGAAGAATACATGGACTGTCTGTACAAGGAGTTTTGTACGGACATACACAAAACGGCAATGAAAAAGTTTCTGGAAATTATTTCCGCCAACACATCCAGTCCACAGGCAATTGAAAACGATAAGCCTGTAACGCTAAAAGAAGGGTAAGTTCTTGTTCTTCGCTTGATTTTGAAGAAATTAATCTGTATGGTTCTGAGTATGATCTTAACTCTCGCTATCCGTGACTGTGAATTATTAAACTTTGATTCTGTCTTTCTCCTGCTGCTGCTACTTAGAGATGTTACAAGGTAAATCAATGAACTGAAACTTTTTAGATAAGAGTATCCGTCTCTATTTATTCAGGTGGTCTAATTTTTATTAATCTTTTGCAGGTTGATGATCAAGAGGGCACAAGGCAGGAAGCGGTTTGGACGGAAGAATTTCAAGCAGAGATACTTCAAGCTAACGACGCACAATTTGAGCTATTCGAAAAGTCGAGGTATGTTTCATTTTACCTCTCACTTCAGTTACTCTTAGTCATTAGCATCTGCTGGAAAATTTATCAAATTATTCCGTCTTTAGGGAAAGATGCTCTTTGCGAGATTCCCCTTTCCAACATTCTCGCAGTGGAACGACTTGCGGAAACGTCTTTCAAAATGAAAAACATGTTTCAAATCGTACAACCAGAACGGGCATTGTACGTGCAAGCAGCCAATTGCGTGGAGGAGAAGGAATGGGTGGATCTTTTGACTAAAATTTGCCAGACCAACGCCAACAGGCTGAAGAAGTATCACCCATCAGCGTTCATCAATGGAGAGTGGATGTGGTGAGTGACATTACCTCCTCTTGGTCGTCAGTACACTTCTTTACAGGCCTTTTTTTTCAATTCTAGTTGTAAATCGCCCAATGAGCTGGCGCCCGGTTGCAGCGAAGTCTCTCAAGTGGACAGCAACAACTACCACATGACTCTTGATCCGGAGAGAGATCTTCAGCGGATCCACTCTTTGATTATCGGGCATATACCGCATTTGGAGAAGTACATTCAAGTGCTGGAGGAGCGGGAGCCGATGATATGTGACGTTCTGAAGAAGTTGCACGAGGTGGCTTTCGAAATCGAATATCAGCATCGGATCTACAAGAGGGCGTTGGACAGGAATACCAAATACGGAAGCTTGTAAGTTTTTTTTTTATTGAATTTAAACCAAATAAATTATTTTTGCTCTGTCTTAACGGCTGTTTCAGCATTAATTTGAGTCAACTAGCCACGGTAAAATTTACTTTGTTGTTGCAGGGCGACTCCAATTGGAGATGATAATTATCTACTAGCATCTCGAATGAATCTGGATCCAACTGTTGTTCTGCGTGGCATGACCACGACCGAATCGACGTTATCATGAGTAAGTTTAGCGATCGCCAATTTTATTTTAGCGATAATATTCATATAACAGACGGAACAGAGTATAATATTTGTATAGAAATTTCGACTCTAGAGATTCTCAAATTTAAGACTGCTATAATAATACATATTTCGTAAGCAAGAACGCCAGTGTTAATATTCTAAATATATGACGATATATTTCCTGTTCGGTGAATCAGGAATGTATTTCTCCACTTGCCATTTTGCAGATGTATATTACGTATGAACCGCTTAACATTAAGTGTACAATCCCTAGAGAGGTTTATTATGCAAACTACTTACATGTGCTGCACAATGTTTGGTTTAACAGGGCAATTTTTCATGACTCCAAATGACTTTTACGTTTTGTATATAGAATACATTAATTAGGTACGAATAGAGTTTAATATATTTTAAATACATATAGTGAACATATTTTTTTATTAGTGGGTGGAAATTTTGCATATAATTGACAATCAAAATTTGTTGGGCTGTACAAAGTGTTTGCTGATCGACGCAAATGCACAATTGGAAGCAAAACTCTTCTGTATAAAGACAAGATTTAACCGATTAGAATTCTGCTTCCGAAAATGAACCACCAAATTAGGTACAAAAAGGTGCGCTGCCCTATATCTAACTTAATTATTAAATATTGATGTTTAGTGAAGATTTTATTGTGTGTATTGTCATTAAAAAGCGCTTTATTGTATTATAAACAATATTTTTTCAATCACATGTTTTAATGTGGACTTTTACTTTATGGAACGATACTCGGATATCATTTCACTGGTCATAGAGGCTCGAATGTCGTAACTACACTAATTAACCCAACACTCGTTTTAAGCTTAATTTATCTCATTGTGTTTAGCATTTTTGGACACTTGGACACAACTTGCGTAATTGTTTCGGTTTCTTATGGATAGAAGTACAAACCCGTGTCTTAGATACTGTACAGCCTTTATAGGATAACATGTATAATTAAAAGTCCAAGTTAAGCAATAACAAAATAGAGTGACTACATTTAGGTGTATATTTACTACTTTAGGACTTACAGTCGTATATTTTTGTCTTCCCTGTATACTTAAGGCCTCGTTATCATCATGTAGAAATTTACCTATTAGGACTTGACATTGTGTTGACTGTATTAAAGGCAAATTGAGGATATAAAACTTTACAGCACATGAAAAAATGTACATTTCTGTATAATTTTTTTTTAATTATCAGACGGAGCATTTATGTTATAACGCAAGGTGCGCTTTAAAGTTGAAACTGCTGGATAATTCGCTAGAAAATTATTATTTTCTACAAATAGGTAAAAACAGCGGATTTGGTTTGTCTCGGTTTTCAAGAGGCAAATTACTACATCAATTTAGAACCAATATAGTTGAAAATCTCCCAAAATATCTCCTCATCTATGTATAAATTGATTGGAATTAAAACTCGCCTTGTTATTTTATTCTTATGTCCAGAGAAAGATTTAGGTATTGTTCATCAAACGAATCTTAAATCTAGTTTTATTGGTAAAATTTACCCACTTTGTTGTATATTGGTACTGATGTTTTGCATTTTAAATCATTGTTCTTTTTAACGTATTATTAACGAATGTAAATTATTGCAAATGTATGTTGTTTTTTTTATAGGTTTGTCTGTGGATATTTTTGTTGTACAAAACTATAATAAACCTTCAAACAATTCGGAATTTATTAAAATTTTATGTGTTCCGCCCCCCCCCATTTCCCTTCATAGTAACACATTTAAATACATTCATCGTTTATTTGGATAATTATTGTCAAAGTAATAACAAAACAGTTGTTCTTATGTGTAATTACTAAGTGATTAGAACTACAAACCGTTTGCCTCAAGGGGGCTTTTAACCACATTCCTATACTAGGTGACTAGTTTCCTACAACTATTTGGATACCTTTTACATCATATAAGGTAGAAAAAGCTGAGATAAATTACTTATTATAAAGTATTCTTTGGAAACAGTTCGGAGTCAGGCGGCATTAACCATTCTAAGGGTTGAAACTAAAAAAACCAACGCGCTTTTTAACAGTATATGAGAAAAAATGCGATTCCCTAAACAACTGTAGAATATATTACTACATCAAAATAAAGTGGTTTTTTAAATGTATTTCAAACTTAACACGTATTTAAAAAACAGCCTAAAGTACATGGTACAAGATTTAATTAACTCTAGAAGAAACTCCCAACAATCCATGCACATTTTCGTGGCCTAACTGAGCTTGTTTGGAGTATGAACACATATATACCTGTTCTTAGTATAGTTAAGAATTCAGTTCAATTTCTACGACTAGTTTAACCACATAGCATTATTATATTGTATACATATTTCTAAAAATCGGGTTTTTTTGGTAGATTTTTGTTGAACCTTTACTGGTGGTTGGCTAACGCCAGGGACCTCCAAGGTTTTCTTTCGATGCGTTGAATGTCGCTATAAGAACGTTCTGAAAAAGATAAAAGTTTTATTTTCAAAATTGCTGGTTTTTTGTGAAAACGGCTCTGTTTCCAAAATTTACAATTTTCTGTTACTTTTCTTCTAGTCAATTTAAGGAAATTTATCATTGTATCTTTATGGTAGTTTTTTGTTTGTTTTATGCTAACGAATTGAAGACATCGCAGATATTTTTAGAGATAAGAGTAGAAGTAACACGATAGACATGGAACAGTGCACCACGTAGAAAGAAGCAAACGAGAATTCTTGTTTTGAAGCCCCACATTAAATAAAAGTTTTCCCTTTTTGCGTGAAAACTAGAAAAATTCCCAAAATGGTTGGTGTGAAAAAATGCACAATTTAAGGCTTTATCCCGAAATGACAATTTCGAGCTTCGCATTTCATTCGGTTCTCTAAATGTGAGCAAAAACTAAGCGCTGTTCTCAAGATACGCAATAATAGTAAATTTTCTCATTATGCGCAAAAACGAAAAACATTTCTTCAACGATCTTTAGCATTAAAAAGTGCGTAATTTAAAGCTCTATCCCGGAATCACAACTAGAGCTCCGCATCCCATTCGGTTCTCTAAATGCGAGCCAAAGATTAAGAGCGGTTTTTAAGACCAGGATTAGTTTAAAATTTTCCTAACATTCAGCTGGAATTATTCATTGGCTAGTGTGGTACATAAAAAGTTTTGTATCTAAACAAGAAAGGAATTAATTTGCGATCAGACAAAATGAAAAAAAAGTCAAAAATATCTGATAATTTATTAAAATAATAGAATGTTTTTACCTCTGAACTTGATATGCTGACATTGAGCATCCGGGATATTGGCGACTCTCTTTGGAGGCTGGCTGGTGTCTCTGGTGGATCTGAAAGAACCCGAAGCCCTTAGAGATGGCGGTTGGATGCACAAAACATCGCGACTCATTCTGTATGAAGTAACTGACGGTGCTCCTAAAGTACTGTCCTCGTAAGAGTTGATGTCGATGTCTGTAAGTACTGAAACAAACGGTTGATTATTTCCTTAGACTTTTCAGGTGAGGTGATGAAACAACTGACGATAACCAAACGTTAAAACCAGTCTGGAAAAGCAAAAAGCAACAGAGTATCCCAAAGATAAAAATGAAAATATCATTGTATTATCATTCGATGTAGAAGTAGGCGTGAATTATTCATGCGGCAAGTCTAGCGAAGACTCACCTCAATTAAAAGATATGAGGATAACTAGAGGAAAAGGGATTAAAAATGCATCTAAAATTTACAGACCGCTCTACTTAATGCGAAACTGTAGATAAATGGGAAATTTTAAATGCCTTGGAATATTCGATTAAACGGGGGGCGAGCAGCGATAATTTCCTAATGGAGCTGAGTTTATGGCAGGTAAGCGATGCAGCTCGGTCATTAATATTGGATTTATGGCCCCTTTTAGGGAGCTGATGCTGTTTTTCAAGTGCAACAGGTTTTAGCCTCTGCTATCATGAACACCATTGCTAATTCCCTTCAAATGAAACTGATGACTGGACGGTACAACACAGCGCTCAAAAATGAGTTGAGAACTTACAAGTGGGCTTCCTTCCCGCAAACCATTTACGTTTATTACCTCGCTTCTTTGTTCTTGCTGCTTTCAAGACCCCTAATAATAAACAAAGTTCAATCTGCGTCTTCAATATTCAATTTTTAGGAAAGTAGAGATGCAAGGGTGCTACTTACGGGATAATCTGTTATCCAATGTTGGATGGTCCCAGTCTTCGTCTCTTGGGCTCCACTCTCTACGTCTTAGAGTCACTTCTGGTTTAGGTGTGGAAGTGTTGTCTACAAGCAGTCGTCCCATCGCTGCGAAAAATTACTTTCATATTGAATAATCCCATTAAGGGGGCTAAGAAGGGTGAGATTGAAAATGTATTCATCGCTATATGCGAGCAGTTTGGACGTTTATATGGGAAAAGGAGAGCGTGATCAATCAAGGCAACTAGGCAGATACATGGGACCAATTTCCAGAATAGCCCAAAGGCCGGAACGGTAAGGTGTTGCATTATATTGTGGATTCAAAATTGTTTCTTGCGTGCTTTTGGGCAGTTTGTGTGGTAAAAGCGATTGAAAATCACACAAAACTATTCGCATGTAATGAATTAGCGTTAAAAAACTTTTTATTCGCGGATTTGAAGCAAATAGACGAATGGTAACTTGCTGAAAATTATCAGCTTTCAGAAGCATGACAAATGCTGTCACTTTGTCGGTTCAGTGTGTAGGTTAACCTAAACGTAGACCTGTCAACTGCGTAGAAAGCACTATAGTGCTTGGCTAGTTGGCTCCGTGAAAAATCCCAAAAAAACCTGAGATTTTTTGGTTTTTGGGAAAAAATTGCTGATTTTCCGATAGATGCGGTTCGTCCTTATAGTTTTGTGGTGTTTTTCTTGGCGATAGTGCGATCTTTGATGAAAAAAGACGATATTTAAAAACTCTCTGACGTTTTGTTGTCAAAATGTCAGCGGCATTAAATTGAATGGATTTTTGAGGAGTGGAGGTTTGGAGGATTTTTCCACTATGGAAATGGAAAGTTTTTATGCAGAAAATGTCAGTTTAATAGTAAGTACAGTTTTTGCCAACCTTTAAGCCCCTTAGTTAGTTTGAAGCACGCAAAAATATTGAACAAGCGGTTGTAAGATTTGATATGCTTAGAATCGCCTCAGAAATACGTGTTTGAACATGTTGTACAACCTTGTATGAACAACGGAAAATRTGCAAGAATTCTGCATTTAAATTGTACTTGAGTATAGAATTGTAAGTTGATATGATTAGGCATAGATAACGCTGTGTTGAAAAAYATGTGACACAGGAACAACAAACCCCATAAAATGAAGATTTAAATCAAATTCTAGAAGCAAAAATACAACGAAAKAACTGCCAAAAACCTGCTGAAAACCTGCAGTTAAGTTTCTATTCAGTTACCATACAATGAAAAAAGAAAATAAACGTTCAAAACAAACGAGAAAATTAAAAAATATGGAGGTGCAACCATAAACATCTAATAGCGATATTGAGGAAAATTTGTTAATCTCAAGTTGCTATCGGTAAGCAAAAAACTATTCATCTCGATCGGAAAATCGTTAGTTGCGTCTTTATTAAAGTTTGTTTTATGYTGTCGCGAAATATTTCTYATTGAAAATGTCCCATATTTTATTGTGGGAAAATACAGTCGAGGAGCAGACAGACTGTAATCGATAAAAGCCGGCGAAGAGTAAATGTCTGGCCAAGTTACAAGAGCGAAACTAGTCGGACCGTAAAAGCTCTAAGTGAAGAAAAAGTGGAAAAGGACGCTTTAAACCGAACATGGCATCGGAAAATTGCTCCTCTGCCACATATATTTTCTGCAACCGCTCCTAAATACGACCACAAATGTACTTGAAGAAATAGCGTTTGTAGTTTAGTGATTTGGAAATTTTGCTTTTTTTCAGAGTTTTTCGAAATTTTATTCGCTTGTAGAAGTTTCCATAAATTCCGCGTATATTTTGTCAGAACGAAAGGATATTTTCTTCTTGTAAAGAAAGATCTGATTCTATTGGTGCTAATGAAGAATAATGGCCCATTTTTAACAAAAAACCGCGACATATATCAGCCCGGCTTAATTTCATCTCTAATAGAATTTTTTAGCCTTAAGTATCTACAGACAGCCATCCATCAGCCAGTCCATTTCCTTCTCTCCAATTGGAAACCGGTTACAAAACCGATAGTTTCGTTCTTTTGGCACATTTATCTTACTTGTTTCTGTGCGGATAATCGATTTACTACACGTCCTTAAGTACATTTCTGCTTGAAACAATTGCAGCAAACAGATAGAGCGCCGTTATCTAAGCAAACTAATGAGTGCATAAGTACGAGAATATAAAGAGCGTGCAATCAATGCGAACGGTCATTAACTAATAACGGATTTTCGCTGTCTATTTGTTATAATACTACTCACTGTTTTATCTGTGCTACACTAWACCAAGTAGAGCATTGCATATTCCTGCATTAAGTAATTAATAGTCATGGTATAGGCAAAAAATCGATTCYTGTTATGAAAAACTTTATTTAGTCATTAAAATATGTTGACGAGATGATGTATGAGAAAAATAATAACTTTTCTTCACTATTTTGAGTTACTTTTCRCTAAAATGTTGCTACTTATATTCAGAAAAACAAAATAGTGAAGAGAAGTTTATTTTTCGTCAACGTCAACGTAAAAATTCGTGGCATTTTTCCTGRGTGARTATCAAAAATTTTACTTCCYAAGAATACMTTTCGWAACGCTTTCTGTCAGTGAACAAATAAAAGCAAATTCTTAGCGGAAATAAAACCAACATTCACACCCATTACAAGTGCAACCACACCCAAGTAGGTTCACTGTTCTTGATTGTGATTTAACGGATTACAAATTTCCATGTATAATTAATGTTTAAAGCAAACGTTCTCCATAAAACGAACGAACCGATATGGCACGAAAACAGGGCTTAAAGTAAAACGAGTACGACTTTTCCGTCAGCATAATGCGCATATTTTCCCCCGATTTAATTAGCGTAAATTTTCCTTTCGGAAAATGAAATCCGCCTCGAAACACGTCAAGTATTTCATAAAGAAACTACTCGGTAAAACGTGAAATGCATGCATATGGATTTTAATGATTCCTGGCAAACATTCGTGAAAAGCGGCGCACAATTGAATAGAACTGCTCGATGTAAATAATTTCTCCTGGGCGAAATCGGTGAAAAAAACTTACGAAATTTTTGACGAGCAGCCAGCCAATCATCTAAAGAGGAGGTGTTGTTGTTATTGTTCTTCGGTCTACCATCGTGGGAGTGTCTCAGAGCTCTGCGTCTTTCCTTGCTGGTTAACATGCACTCTTCCAAGAGTTCGAACCAATCTTCCAAACCATCAGCAGCTCTATAAATTCTTTTTTAGAGACGTGAAATTGCGAAGAAAAGCCTCTTACCTGAGATATATCTTCCCATCTCTTCCAATGACTAGAGCGACAGTACTGTAGGTTTTCTTGTTTTCCCACTCGACTCTATCGACATCAACTAGCTTCACTTTGAATAAGAACTGGCCCATTTCCGAAATTCTATGAACGATTATTTATAAACCTTGCAAACTATTCTGATTTATTTTCCTGACTGCGTGCGTGTACTTGTTATTATATTCTTATCCTTCCTAGGTCTCAGTCAAAGTGTGAAGTAAAAATTTTGAATGTCGTTTTTCATTAGGTTTAGGCGAGACAACAGCGCTATCATCAGATTTAAAATTTACACAAACTCATAATTGGTAAATGTTAACGTTCTTCTAGGTCTTTGTCTTCTGGAAACCTTAAATTTTTAACTGACAGAGCAAAGAACGTTAATATTTACCAATTATGAGTTTGTGTAAATTTTAAATCTGATGATGGCGCTGTTGTTTCGCCGAAACGTAATGAAATAAACGATGTTTCAAAATTTTTACTTCACACTTTTACTGAGACTTTTTACTTATCCAGGAAGGATAAGAATATAATAACTTGTAAATTATGAAAGGTGATGTTGTTTACCTGTCTGCACCAGACGCTCTTCGGAAACAGTGCAGATAATCTCTGGTCAGGATGAAATATCTCTCTTTCCAGCGACTGAAGAGCTTATCTCTCTGTTGCCAGAGCAAACCTCTTTTGATGGCATGGGTCGCCTCTTTCCCATAGTTGCTGGTTGATAAGAGAGACTGAAACAAAGTCAAGAAACTGTTTAAAAATCTAATCATGCAAAGTGCGTGTATGGAATGGCATAATTTCCTACTGTCTAAAACCCACAGATATTCCGAGTGAACTTCGTATCGCCATGTACAGCATGAAACTTATGTCGGCAGATCTTTGGAATGGTCATTTACTTTCACATGATTCTAGTGCGTCAGATTGATTGGCTTTGCCCAATAACGACAATTTTACGTAATCCGACGCAAAATCCACTTCTTATCTATCAGATATTTTCGGCCGCACTTAATTACTTGAGAAGCAAACCGAGTTTCCTGCAAAGTCATTAATTAAGCGGAGCAGGTACCTGCTTATAATGCCCTACTTTTGTTATTATTACGGCCAGCTACTTTCAGGTTTTCCTAATTTTGCCGCAACAAATGAGTTAGTGGAGGTTTTAATTTAGCAAATCTCACATAAGAAACCCGAAAATAAATTTGCTGCTTCAAAAAAGTAGGTTATCACATTATCACATAATTGCTTAATTAGTTTGTACATGTTTTTGGAGTAACTAAGTGCCTAGTTTCTAGAGTTTTGACGATATTTCCCGCTGTATTCTTAAAATTATCAGTTTTAAAAAGCTTGAAAGCTTGGGGGAATGTTAATTCGCACAAATGAGATCACTAAATCGGGCATTTGCATGCTAAATCGCCGAATGTCGGCCATATGCGCTATATGTAGTGAATAATTTAACTGAAATTTCCCACAAGTATCGTTGGCTTTTTTGCACAATTACATTCATAAATGTAACACGACCTTATTAGCCATTGTATGCAAAATGGATTCCTTGGAAACTGGCATTCCACCATAAAAAAAGCTCTGAAACGTTTTGTAAAATAAACCGTCTATTCGGTCACCATACTTATGATGTCTCATAAGTCCGAAAAGGGTCTTAAAGGTCATTGCCAAAAGTGTATGCTCAGACCAAGACCAAACGACTGACAATTTTTTTAAAGTTCTTTACAATGATAGTCGATAAGTTCTGATGCAAATTCCCCATCTGGACGATTCGAAATCAGTGCAAAAATCGCGGTCAATTTAAAACTAATCCTCAACCAGATAAGATGCATGTCAATACATTGTACAGTACAATACGGCCACTGTTTTCCAACTTGCGGTATTTATCAGTAAACCGAACAGAAGTTGAATAGTTGATAAATTACAGGAAGGAAGCGGTGACTTTTTGACTTTAGCCGACTTTTTCTTATCGACTAAAATTCCAGCAGTTGTTCTGGAACAGAATTAGTTGAACATCATTAAAATGATTGGATTGGGTCGTCTATCAGAAACCGCAAATTAATTGGCTTTTCCATTATAATCCGCCAGTTGGCAATTCAAATAAAGCTCTGAATATCAGCCATTACAACTGAAAACTATGATGAAACGTTAATCGCGTAAAATGGGTTTATTGACAAATTCCAAATTCATATTCGCGTGTTATCTAGCTTTGAACCAAAATTCGAACGAGTTTATTGAATAAATCGATCATCTAGGGTATTATCGTGAGTACTAAACATTCGACAATGTTTGTTATTACAACATTGCCATTGTAAAAACAAATAATATTCGCGATAAGTGCAATTGTCGTCATTTATCTGTTATGGCTACCAATCGCGTAATTATATAAAGGACATGTATTAATATAACCATGTTTATATGTATGCAATGGATCAGGTGATTCTTAGCAGGGATCAACGTATTTTTCTAGTGTTATAATAAAATATACAGAGTGTTCTACGTAAAAAATAGTCTCATGAAGTAATTGGATCAAATTTGCTTGATTCGAGCGCACTTTTAGGGAACATTTTTACGGAAAGTTCGGAAAAACACTACAAGATCAACCACAGTCCTATTAATAAATGACAAAACACATAAAAGCAAACTGAAGTTGAAACTGGTCAATTTTTCGGGTTTTTGCGGCGGGGTGAAAATAGTTTTTGAAATTATTACAAAAGTTCTTATTTCGGTAGAAATTTTCAATATTCCATTTAGCAGTATTTCTATGGCGTTACACTTGAATAAACGTCGTTTGTTCCCAAACGAATAAAAATCCAGCTGATATAAATCGGGAGACATCGGGGGCCAATGCATGAGTCGATCTTGAACTCTTCCTAACGAACAGCCCGGAAACCACAAAATGAGCAGCAGCTTGATCACGCATGGATGTATCACCAGGCCAAAAAGTCGTAGCAAATTGTGAAGCATAATATTGAAGAAACTATTTCGAAAATGCTGATCATTTGGATCAACTCCTGGGTTTTTTGGAAATTGTCGGGATGCAGTTTTTGGGTAGTATTTCGCGCAGCTCAAACGTTTTCTTCAAAATAATATAAAACCGCTACTTGTCGACCGTTAATTTAGTATTAGGTTTATATTGCAAATTCGTTATCGAAAAAAAAATTAAATCAGTTCTTTTGGGTCAGTTTAAAAATCATTTTTTTCGGCAGAAAAACCCAACCAAGCAAATAAGTGTTGGAACAACCCGCTTTAACATTACCTTCTAAACACGCCCTATCTTATGTGCATCTTATCACCAAACACCCTGTATACTGAGCAAAGAAGGAGGAAGGATTTTCAAGACTGTTGCAAACTTTTCGTCATTCCATTCAATAGAATAGAAATACTTATCTTTCAACCCTCAGTTCCACCTTTATGTAGAAGTAATGCCGCCTCATTGTCCCGTATATTACATCGAATGCCTCCTTATATTATTTCGACGACAGATAGAATTGTACAACAAAAACCTCTAGTGGAGGTTCCAAATGAAAGGATGCTCTCAAAGGACCCCATTTTCCCGAATCCCTGTTAATAATATATTGGGGAACTGGCAAAATACCTGGTCCACAATAATAAACGCTAAGGGATGTTTTTTACGGCCCGAGCTAAGTCAGTTTCGTGTGCTTTGCCAGTCTATTGATCAGAAATTGTAGACGGAAGTGAACGAAAAGTACCCGGCCTGGCATATCGTACAATTATAAAAATGATTAGCGGTCACTCAAGCAAAGTCTAGCTGAAATTGTGCTTTTTGTTAAATTGGCATCAGAAAGTAGATTTACTTTCCAAACAGCCATGTCTCGAGTTAGCTGCTTATTTCAACAAGAAAGCATTTATTTACCTCGAAAAAAACAAGGCCGACGATTAAATGGAACGAGTGGTGTTAACTTGTTAAATTACGCTTTTGGTTCAAAATGGAAATGGAAACGATAGCGAAAGTATGAGAAGGGCAATGCTATGAACATTGAAAATGACTCAATGCGACACCCTGTATATTATAAGGGTGAAGTTTAGGTTGAAATCCATAATCGTTTTTTGAGTTCATAACGTGAAGGCTTGTTTGGGGTTTTGCAAAATGTTTCGAAGATTCGAAATTTTTTGCAAAATCAAATTTTCTAGATACCTATAGATTTCACCGGAAATATTTTTTAGTTAAGCTTAAACAATATTTTGTGTTTTAAAATCTGGTGTATGCGTTTTAAGATACTCGATATACAAATTTGATAGAAACTCCAGTAAAGTGTCGTCGTCTGATGATCTTTATTTCTTAGTAAATTAACGAGTGCCCTTCCAAAGTTGGTCATAACTTTTGGAAATCCCTCCCAGATAATTTAAGATAAATGATACAATTGCGATAAATAAATTTCTTTGAACATCGCGGGCGGGTTAATGTTTCTACTTATCTGTGTGATTAATTAATTAATGTCCGGTTACAATGGTTTTGGACTCAATAGCAGAAGAACAGAAATAAGCCTAAACATGCAGGAAAAATCCTAGCAATTAAGAAGGAAATCTAAATAGAAGTTCTAAAAACTTGCAAGTTCGTTGTTAAATTGCTTGAAAAGTTGTATCAAATAATGTAGCAAATGTAATCGCATTTATCAATGCGATATCCTTTCAAACGACGTAACTGGCTTGGAATGGAAATAATGGCATTATTCGATGGCGACCAAAGTCAGAAGGAAGCTTTCGTAGGCAACGTCCTGAATTTTGATCAGGACAATCTGTATGACTATATCGATATGACCATTTACCATCACCATTCGTTTCCGGTCGGCTGCGTGACGGTACTTTTATAAGCCATTTTGCCAATTCCGGGAATGTAATATTATCAAATAATTACTGGAAAACATCTTTAATGATTGTACGTGCTAATTGAACACTTTTTGGTATTGCACACTTTACCGGGTTAAAATTAACCCCATTTGGTTGCAGTGCATTACCAAACTAATCGAATCCAATTTATGTGGATAAATAAGTGATTTTCCCTTAAGAACTCAAAAAAGAATCAAAATCCACCAAATCCAAACGACTTTTGGTGCAGTTAAGTTATAATAGAAATCGCAAAATTACGCTTTCAAACCCAGGAGTTTTTTCCAGTTTTCAAATAAAATCCCACAACTACTAGCATGGAGAAAAGCATCCTTCATCAAGAAGAAACTTTCAGTAACCGGAAGAATTTCTATTAAATAATGCCAATTTTTTTATAATTATAATAAACCCAAATTCTTTCATAATTTGACTTCCGCTTTAAGCCAGCCGTTAACGAAACATTTTACTTTTCCTTATTAGTGGCAGGAACGGTTTTCAAACTCTCTTTAAACTGCACCCGTATTTTTAATTACATTCAACCATTCCACCCTAGTTTGGTTTTTCGACCTTCACTGCCGTTTATTTGGAGCTTATTGCCAGAAAATCATCCCTTTAATTATTTGGGCAAAATATGATTTGCAATCCTCTCCATGATAAAGCCCAATTAATGCCTAACTCTAGGGCACAGTTGGGGTGCATTGAGGAACGCAGGCATCCGTAAAACATTTATAATGATGTTGGCTGTAGTAGGCGGTTGAATATTTGATATTAAATTATGCGCCTTCAGTAAGCCCTGAATTGCTGGGAGATACCAAATAGAGCCGAGCCAATTTAATGGGAAACCTCCAGCTTGATGGAGGAAAAATGAAAACTATCTAGAGCTGCT